CACTCAGAATCCGGAGACTGTGGCCAACACCTAGAATCTGGAGGGCAGGGCTTTGTGTGAATGGTCTCAGAGAAGAGATTATTTTCAAAGCCTTGAGGGCTAATGTAATGTGTTCTGCTGATTTGCTTGGTGCCTGTTATCCCTTCTTCTCCTCCAGTTTCCCCCATTTGTAATGGAAATGTCTAGCTTGTGCCTATTCGGCCATTGTACCTTTGGAAGCAGATAACTTGTATTCTAGATTTCACAGATGAAGAGGAATTTTTGGAATTTGGACTTGGAGTTAAGACTTTTGCTGTGATATGATTAGATGAGTATATTTTTCGTGTTGCAAGGACATGAATTTTTGGGGGCCAAAGGGGTGGAGTGTCACTTGTGGTATTTCTGTTATAGCAGCACTAGATGACCAAGACAGTTACCATGAAAAGCTTTTGGGTTTTTTCTCCTTTTATTTTATGCCCATTCCATAAAGCATAGAAATGCCTATTTCCCTCTTTGCAATAGCTGCTAAGGAACCGAGAGCCAAAGCTATGGATCTCCTATAGTGGACCACAGAACCTTTTGACGTGTCGGCAGTGGGTTTGGTTTTTTGGGTACTAGCCTTACCTCTGATTTTATCCTTTTCTCCTCCCACTTATTTCACTCCCCAGCCCTGAATTCAATTATTTTTATATTTTATCATATAGTACTGAGTGTATCTTTACAAGCCACCCCAAATCCTTTTTGGAACAAGGCAAGGTATAAATAAGTCTAAAATGTGCAGAGCATTGTGATAGGGACTAGGGAATATGTATGCAAGGATGAATCAGAAGCTGGTCTTGTCTTAATGCCTTCAAGGAGCTGGCCTGGTAGGGGAGAGGGACACATGTCAGATAAACCCCTCTGAGGGCAATGTTAGAGAGAAGCATGAAGAAAGTACAGGGCAGCACGAGAAGGAAGTACCATGCACTTGAAAGCTTAATCAAGAGTAGGAAGTGCCCCGCTTTGGGCTCCCTGTGCAGCTCTCTATCAGTTACCATTCTATGTGAAAAAAATTTGTTTACACATGCTGCTCCTGTTAAGGCACTGAGTTCCTGGCTGAAAAGGATCGGACCTTACTTACCTTTGCATCACCAGGGCCTAGCCCAAAATCTGGCACAAGAGTAAAGGGTAAATCAGTGTCTGCTAGACGAGAAAGCCTTTAGAAGGTAGGGAAGCGAGCAAGCATTCCAGGCAGAGCAACCAGCGTAAGGACTAGATGACTGTACAGTGAGACCAATGTCAAAGGTACAAAGATGTAGGGACTTGTGAGCTGAGGCTGGAAACATCCTGAGAGCCCAGAATGCTACATGACACTCAGAAGGCAATGTCCTCACTGTTTTTTGGCAACCCTGATCATTCTATAACCCTTCCTGGTTATACAACATTCTTTCTACATCCAGACTCCCGATAAGTCGTGTGAAGAGTAGTGTTTGTTGTTCTAGTCCTAAAAGCCTACTTGATAACAGCTATAGTTCTAATGAGGTAAAATAGTGACAAAGATATAGCTAGCCAGACAGCAGTCTGAACAGGCTGTCCCCCCGACTGAATGGGTATCTTGAGGAAGGTCGGCAATCCACTGAAGCAGCTAAAATCAGTTGGATCATCTCTGAAGCTCAACAGAGTGACAATACCATAACAAGGGTACCCTAAAATGCTGCAATAGCCCCCCTTGCCATGTTCCAAGGGCTACATTTTAGACTTGGTAAACACTTATATAAATTACCAAGAAATTCACTCAAGGGTGACAGAGCTTTTATTCCAAACCTAGCCTCTCTGAGAGAAGTGTGTGACTCCCCAAGAAAAGTAACAAAAGCCAGTACATCTCACATCAAGAGATAGAACAGAGGAAGAGTCCAAAGACACACACACACACACAAAAACAGGATCAACATAAGAAAATCTGGGAGGGGCTCATGCAACTAAAATGGAACCACAGAGCGATAAAAGTTTTAGATTCAAATTTGACAAGCCCAAGATAACATACTTACTAAATAACAGAAAAGTACAAATCGCTTTGATGATTCATATGCTGTACCCCAGAATAACAACAACAAGGCTAGCCTAAGTTACTGCCTCTGGATCCAATGCACTGGTTATACCGAACATTTAGTAGAGTGTCTGTAAAATGAGTCTCTGCCCTGAAGGAGCTTACAATCTGGCTGGGGAGCTTGAAGCCATATCCACAAGTTTAGACAAACAACATAAGGCTGAAAACGATGAGTGACAGAGGAAGAACAATTGTTTTGTGAAGAAGAGGAGACTCAGACAAGCAGAAAAGAGAGCGTGAGGAAATAAAAGTGAAAACACCCAGCAGCATGGCACGAGGTTGCCTAACTCTAGCCGAATTCAGTCTGAACGTCACATATAGATAAAAGGGTAGGGTGAACACAAAATTTATGGTCCAAACAAGAGTCACTGCTGAAAGTGAAAGAGACACTAAATATAACTAACAGATGGTAATTGATCTAATCACCACCCATCTGTCAGTGTGTTGTACTATGGTAGCTTGAGTGTTGTTATGATACTGGAAGTTATGCCATGAGTATTTCAAATACAACAGGATTACCAATGGTGGACAGATTTCAGCGGGCCTTCCAGACTAACACAGACTAGGAAGAAAGGCCTGGTGATCTAGTCCCAAAAATTAGCCAGTGAAAACCTTATGGCTCACAGAAGAACACTGACTCGCTTGCTTTGGACACATCATCAGGAGGAATCAATCGCTAGAGGAGGACGTCATGTTTGGTGAAGCAGAGGTCCAGTGAGGGTGAAGGAGACTCTCGGTGACACGGATTGGCACAACAGCTGTAACAATGGACTTGAACATGTTGGCAATCATTAGAAAGATGCAGGACTAGGTACTATTTTGTTCTGTTTCATCCACGTTGAAGTCCATTGTTGTGGCTATTGTGCCGGTCTATCTTTGCCATGAGTCAAAGTCGACTTGACAGCATGTATCTATCTATCTAACTGACCTAAAATAGGCATAGACTAGCACATTACAGGCAAACTGGGACGTATGGTCACCCAAACAACAGGCCAGTATTGAATATGTACTTCTGGATCTAGGTAATGGCAATGAGAATGGAATAATAAATGTAGGACTTGGTAACTGACTAGACATGGTAGGAGAATGAAAAATCTGGGCAAATACTGCTTCATAGAAAATGTGAAATCTGGAGGGGAAGTTTGGGGAAATCATCATGAACTTGAATTTAAAGATGGGGGCAATGAAGTAGAAGTGTTCAGTGGGAACCAAGAGACATGGACTAGAACTGCAAACAGGTGTTTGGAAAAATCATGAAGGGAGTTAATTGCTGGAGTAAGAAGAGTGGGTGAGTAATAGCCAAGAGATAATCCTGTTACCAAACTCTCATTTAATGCGTCATCAGTTCTCACACTCTTCTTCCATTCCCTTCACTCACAGTAATTAAGACCTCCCAATTTCCCACTCACCCTGCCAAACCCCAAAGAGGTTATCATTCCATAAAGCATCAACTTGAACCTTTCTGGTATTTCTTACATTTTCAAAGAGCTTTTCAAATACATTATATTTACTAATAAAATATCTCAGTTTTAAGTTTTCTATTTTAGCATCAAACTAGAAAACATTAAAACTGGAAATACCTCTTCCCACAAACAATGCTTTTTAATTTGAGCTAATAGAGCAGTTCACATCTTTCAAAATTATTTGATAAATTCTTCAGGGAAATTTAGCTGTTGCTTGCAACTAGAGTGTCCAGCAAAGAAGGAAAAATAATACTTTCACAAAAATAGGTGTGAAAATATTAATGTTTTCCCCCCAATGCCTGGCAAGGATTCCTAGCAAACTAGGATCACTGAAGACCATGAGTTCTCAGCCCGGCCAGCACAGCATACTACTCCCCTAGTCATCCTAGAAACGTTGCTACAAAATCAGTCAATACACTGACTTGCTGAGCGTTAACCTTATCCTTTGCAAGTGATTAGGAGGGGAAAAAATGAAGTAGCAATTTTCTGCCGTTCCACACACACGGGGCTGTTCCAGCACTCTCCTTGCCTCACAAGAAAATAAAAGTACTACATAAGCCTCACAGACAGGTTCAAAGAAGCACTTGTTAGCAGTGATTTGCCAAGCTCGTACTCTGTTGAGACCATTAACGGCCCACATCCAAAGTCGGACGGCTAGTTAATGGATTTAGGATGGCACTATTCTCTACAAGGGGAGGCCCTCAGAAGTTCAGTCGCCCCTATTCTCATTCCATTAGCATTACAGTATGGACTGATTTCCACCTCAGTTGAACAAATAATAGAAACTGTTCATTTACCTCAACTGAGAACACTTTGTTTACCTTGGGATTTCACATTAATACAGTAATATAGATGAAGGGTATGTTGTGCTTAAAACACACTGGCTTGCCCTACACTCGTTTCCCTAACTGCCTCGATATTAAAAGAACAACAACAGCACACAACTGGCCTTTGCATTCACTACTTTCTGCTTTGCCTTCTTCCTTTTAGGTCTGTGTTAGGGAAAAGCAAAGCCAAGCACTTAAGAGAGCAGGCTCAGGGACATTAGTTTAAAGAAAACAAGTAAAATGCTTGCCCTCTAGCTCCTTGTCGTGCCTCCTCCAGATGCTAACACACGCTGCCATCGTGCAGGAAAGGCTGAGAATGTCTCAAGCATAGAAAGCGTTATGTGTGTGTACAGCAAAGTGAGATTTTCTGAACTTCCCAGCAACACTAATGGGGTTTATACACATCTGAGTCACACCCTAGTGAAGAATCAATTTTATGACTAAGAGATTGCCTATGAACGTCAGTGGCTACTTTTGCTTTACAAAAACAAAAACAAAACAAACAAAAAAAGATTTGTTAATATGAAGGCAACCTTCTTAGCTGAAGGACTGTTCACACCAAAGCCCAGTATATCCCCAAGGGGTACTAGGAACCAGCACAGAAAGGCACATTTCAGAAGCTGTCCCGACAAACACAGTCAGGGATAAGGGGTTCAATGTGCAAAGTCTTTTATTCAAAATTTTGAAAAGTTAAGACTTATGACCACCTCAGAATAGGCCATTCCCATTATAAGGGGGAGTGGCAGCTTCAAGCTCGCGCAGAGCTGCATTTTCATTTACAGAACTCTGGAGGCACTTCAGAAGTGAAGCTTGGCTTCAAAATACAAACACTGGGGGCTTTGGCTAAACTTTTTAATATAAAAAATTCACTGATGTACAAAAATGTGAAAGTGTGACAATGACAACATATGAAATTCTGTGATTCAAAGTCCCTTGAGTGCACTCCACGGTGCACGTGTACCCACCCACACATACTCTGGCGTGGAAACATAAACTAACGCAAACTGCGCTCCCAAGAAGCACCCAAATGTGTGTTCTCCATTCCACCAATCACAGACCAATATCTACTCCAAACATTCAGTAACAAAAAGTACAGCATCTTCTCAGGAACAGCAAGGTAGACTTCTTACTCTCGATGGACCAGCACAAATAAACCCAGTAAAAAGAGGACTGCATACTAGAAAATAAACACAGAATCACAAGTCAGAGTAGCTCTTAAAAGTTCACTAGTCCCAAGAGTTAATTAATAAACTGAACTTTGTGACCAGGATATATTATTGAACTATCCAATTATTCTCTCATCTTTTAACTGTAATCTATTGAATAGTTTCCAAAATTAAGCAAAAGATCGTATTTTTAATGAAACATATAGTATGAGCTCTTACCTTAAATTTAGGATAGTCATTCATAAGGATCGTCACAATTCCAATGTAAGGAACAAATCTAAAACAAAACAAAACAAAAAATGGTATCACAGAACTTCTTAAGTAGACACTATCATTTACTGAACATTCTCAATCACTTCCATAGAATACTAATTTTCAGTTCACAAAGCCCACTGGCATATACTGTAATGTCATATTTGATCCTTTTAACAGACCATATGATGGGAAAGTTAGGAATATCACTGTCGTGAAGATGAGGAAACAGATGATCATGCCCAAGGTACACGGCTTCTGTGCACCAGAACCAGTACCGCATCTGAGGTCTGAGACCTCTAGCTGGTGAGGCTAATACTACAGGCTGATACAGTGCTAGGAGCTGGGTCTGTTGTCATAACCTTCAGGGAGCTGTCAATCTAGTTGGGGAAACAAGGCAAACAGCCAGAACACTACAAGGTACTTCAGGCTAAGTGCCCAAAAAGTGAAGGTAAGAACTCTATTATGGTACTTAACATTTCACCACCCTCTCATTTTTTAACTACTTGGAATATGGTTTTGGCTGTCTTAATCCTGAAACTTTTTCTAGAATTTTTAATCACCATATGCAGCAGACCAGTCTTAGCCTGCATCTTCCTATACATCTCTACCACATCCTTGCTCTTGAAATCCCTTTCTCCCTGGTTTCTGTAACACAGCACAAAACAGGTTCTCTGTCTCCTTCTTTGGGTACTGCCAAGTTTGTTTCTCTTCCTGGCTGTTTCCTTCCTCTTGCCCCTAAAGTCTGTCTCCCCAAACTAGGTAAGACGACTTGTTAAACAATCTCACAGCATCCAGTATGTGTCCTTTGAAGCTCTTATCACAATTTTAATTAGTTGTACAATTAGCTGTTTAGTCTTTGTCTCTCCTGCTAGACTGTAAGCTCTATAAGGGCTTAAAAATGATTGTTTTTTGTTTTGTCTGTCAGTCTTGTTCCCCACTGTTTCCTCAAGACCACACATAGTGCTTTGCACATAGTAGGCATCCAGGAAATACTGGCTAACTGAATGCCTGGGTCTCCTCTTTTATCCTTCCCTTGGGGATCTCATTTTCTCCCAGGGCTTCAGTTCTCCCCCCAATGCAAAAGACTTTTCCATATTCTAAGAATTCAGGGGGAGAGAGAAAACTAGCGGGTACCATTGATGTGGGAGGAAACGGCGGTTAGCAAATGTACAACTCCTTCTCTTTCTGTCTCTTCTGTTGCTGGACTCTAAAGAGAACGGCGTGACACCGTACTAGGCTAGAGCCTGCCCTAGAAAGGGAGGTCGGGCTGAAGTGGAGGCTGATCTCTGCAGACTTTAAAATAGCCCAGATAGCTTTATTCAGGGCATCCACAACTTCTGCACCATGCCAAAGGCAGCACAAACAGCAGGTACCTCCCACATAGCACCTCCACCATCTAAGCCTTCGGCAAACTTGAAAAATAGAAATTTTGTCTTTGGTACATTTCACTTCCTTTTAAGAACTCCCCTTACTTCCTATTTCCTGTTCTCACCCTTCCCTACCTCTCTCCCTTCTGGCAGCACTACCCAGGCCTGTCTCTCTCTCTCTCTCCCTCCACCCCTAAATTCCCATTTCATAAGTTAGTGTTTCTTAAAACCTGGACTCCTTTTTCAGAATCACTTGGGACAGCTTGGTGAAAATGCAGATTCCTCTATCCCCAGATTTACTAAGCTGGGGAATTCTGGGAGGTGGGGCCCAGGTGATGCTGCTGCACACTCAAGTTCAAGAAGCACAGTTCCAGGGTGGGAGATGCATGGGAGAGGCATGCCGTGACAAACAATACCCCTTTAGGGCCCATGTTTCAGTCTCAACCCCAGGGATCTCCAAGAGTTCAAAAGTAACAGTCATTACAAGCTGGCATAGCTAAGCTCTCGGAGGGCAGATAGAGGTTATCTGATATATATGTTATTTCCCTTTCTCTTTTTAATGCAATAACTCTGTTATTTCTTTCATCTCATTTTCAACACCTTTATAAAGGCAATGGCCTTCCGGGAAAGTAAAGCATCTTATTTAAGAACATGAAACATTTTTGTCTGGCAAATGCCTCCCAGTAAAATGCAGATTAAGAGCTATAGAAGCATCTGTGATTTCTATTAAGCATATCACATGGCTGGTTCTGCTCTGAGGACCCACAGCAGCCATTTTCATGGATAGGGACTTTCTTTGTTTTCTCTATGCAATGATATCTGTGCCCAAAGAACCATAACCTTTGGCTGCCAATGACCACATAGTCTACTTATGAGTTACCTACAGAAACATGTTGTTTTAAGGTTGGCTTTTCCTTGCCCACTCGAAGTGAAAGGAAAGCTGATTGATCTTTAGTAGTAATATGAGCAAAACCTAAGGCTGCAAGAATATGAAGTCCCAGTCAAACAAAAGATTTCATTATCTGTACCACAGCTTCCCTTCATGGACAGAGATAGCGTGGCATTGATAATCCAGTGCGTAATGCTGCTATCATCAGTCATCTTAAATTCAAATTGGTTGCACTTTGCTCCTACTCTGCTCAGATAAACTCATATGCTAAAGCAGACTTCCTAATAAGCAGACCGAGGTGTAAACTCGGTAAGATAAATGCTGCCCACAAAGCCAGCTCCAACACCAGCCTGTGCCAGGTTAGCATCCAGAAAGTAGACTATGGTAAAATACGTTTCCCTGGAGTTCTTGGGACCCAAGTTGCTGTCGAGGAAGTAGTCTCAAGAAGAAGGACTAGCGGCTGGTGTTTTGGGAGAAAATGAATAGAAGTCATTAAGCAAGAGGCCAAAAGAACAGTAAAGAAAAGATGGCCACATAATTTCAGAGGAGACCCCAGCACAATTCTGTCAGGTGTTAAAAGGAATCTATATCTGGGAAGTATGGACCCCAGAAGCCGACTTAATAGGTGAACATGCAGTGATCAAAATAGGATCATTCTGTTTCTATCCCAGAACAATCGGTTTCAAGTGAAATAAATGGTATGTTTTAAAAGCCTTATTGATAAAATGGATTTCAGTGCACAGAGAGCTCAGTTACTCTGCTTCCTTATATTTTTATTCTTCTTTTCATTGTCAGTATTTCTCTATTTCCCAATTTTTTGCCAGATGCTCTCTTCCTTTGCCTAACAGGTCCTCTTGTGTTTTTCAACTTCCTGGATTTAGAAAGAATCACCTCTGTTAAATGTTTTATTGGTTTAGGATGAGTTTCATTTTCTAAAATTGTTCTTATTGCAGGCTACAACACGAATGAACCTTGAAAACATTATGCTAAATGAAAGAAACCAGACACAAAAGGCCACATATTGTAGGATTCCATTATATGAAATGTCCAGAATAGGCAAATCTGGATAGACAGAAAAAAGCCCTGGTGGCACAATGGTTAAGTGCTCAGCTGCTAACCAAAAGGTTGGCAGTTCGAACCCACCCAGCAGCTTAACAGGAGAAAAACCTGGTGATCTGCTTCTGTAAAGATTACAGCCAAGAAAACCCTATGGCGCAGTTCTACTTTGTCAGATGGGGTTGCTATGAGTTGAAATCGACTCAATGGCACCTAACAACAACAAAACAGAAAATAGATTAGTGGTTGCCTGGGGCTGGAGACGGGAGGGAAATTGGGGTGATGAAAATGTTCTGGAATTAGTGATGATTACACGAAGCTGTGAATATACTAAAAACCACTGGATTGTACATTTTAGAATGGTGTATTTTATCTCAATATATGTGAATTTAAAAAACTTTTAAAAATTCTCTTTACTGAGGGCCTTAGTCCTCAATATGAATTTTTTTAGTGTGCAGCTGTTTGAAAACACATTTTAAAAAATACATAAGGACATCTGTACCACAGTCACAGACTTGCCTGTGACTATCCTCAAGGCTTGGGTATAGTCTGACTTAAAAAATTATCAGCTAAGTGCTTTATAAACACCATTTCCATAAAAGAGGGTGATATGTCCCAACGTGAGTCAAGGTAAATGGATTTGTACAGTTAAGATTCTGTGCTCCTACTGTTCATGTCCCAGGTGTTTTACACTTCATGGAATGTTACTCAATTCAGAGAGTACCAAGTTATATATTTTTATTAAAAACCACAAAAAATGTCTATTTTCAATGTTGGGATTTTAGAAATAGTATTGTATATAGTTTGGAATTTTTCAGAAATCCTTGAGAAAGACAAGTTACTGGAGCAAAAGTACATCTCCTCTAACCTTTTGTATGATAATGTATGTTTTACCCAACCAAGGAACCAAACTGAGCAGACAGACCTGTATTAAACACTTAGGAATCAAGACCCAAATAAAGGGACCCTGTTGTGCTGGTAGGAGTATACATAAAACAGTAAGGCAAGCTTTATCAAAAGCCTTAAAATGTGCATACCTTCCACCAGCAATTCCACTTCTGGGAATTCACTGTGAAGAAAAGATTGTGCAGAGATACTGAGGTACATGTAACACGGATGTTCACTGTAGCATTGTTTACAACAGAAAAAACTGGAAACAATCAGAAGCTCTAACAACAGGAAACTGGCTAAATAAAAGTATGGTCTATCCATATAGTACAATAGTATACAGCTTTGAAAATGAGGATATGGAGATAAATTTATTGATTTGTAAAGATACTAATAATTTTTTGGTTAAAAAAGGTTATAAAACAGTGTGACCATTCTCTCCCCATATACAAAATGTGTTTATGTACATACATGTATGTATATGTGTATATCAATATCTGCTTCTTTTTCTGTGTATATAAACAAAGGTTAAAGGAATATAAACCAAAAAGTTAACAGTAAATATTTATGGAGGGGGAGGAGAAAAGTGATTTTGCTTTGTGATGATTTGTATTTCCTTATGTTTCCACCTAAATCTGTACTTTTACAGTTAAAAGAAAAACAAAATGACTCAAAGAGGTTGATGAGTTTGAATAACCACTTTAGCAGTATTTTGGGACCCAGGGCACTGATGATTTAATTTGGACTATAAAAGTATGTTTATCTCCATCACAGGAAAAGATGTTCTCCAGAACTGGGAATATGCACAAAAAAACAGCTTTGCAGGGGAGGCAAAACCCACGGGTGCTTGTTCTGGTGTGATCTCTATGGCCCCAAACTGAGCAGCTTTCACACTGTAACTGAGGCAGCTTTGACTTAATAACTCACACTTACTTCTGTACAGGAGCAGAGTTGCTCAGTGTGGTGGCCTGTTCGTTCCCTACTGTAATACCTCTGTATCCACACTGTCTGTTCTAGGCCAGGAGGAACAGATGTGCTGGTAGTCCTAAGAGTGCCATGTGGCATCTAAATAGTGAGAAACAACAGTTACCCACTTCAGAAATGCTATGCCAGTAATTCTGATGTGACAGCTAAAAGGGCAGGCTCTGGAGACATATAGTCACTTATTAACAGTGCGACCTTAGATAAGTAACATAACTCATTTGGTTTTCCTCATCTGTAGAATGGGAATGTTAGGGTAGTTCTGAGGTTAAAATGAAGTCATATTTATAAAACACTTAGAATGATAGTCTCTGGCACATAGGAAGCCCTAATAAACATGAGTTATTATTAGCAGTATTAGTAACATTAAGGTAGTAACAATCCCATACTTCCTCACATCAGTAACTGACAATTCCTGTCTTACACCGATCTGTTCTCCTGACAAAATCTGAAATAAACAGGCTAAATATAATTTTTTAATTTAATTTGACCACATCAATTTTAAGACTAGAAATAAAACAGTATGGAATAAGTTAACATGATAAACTTAATTTAGATGAACATTTTAAGGTGCTGACTCAGTAAATCTTTCAGAAATGTAAGTTTCGCAAAGCAGGATGAATATTGTGCTGGATCCCCAGAGCCTCACATGGTGTAGAAAGTAGAGTACGTGTGAAGTGCCCAATAACATTTCTTGAATCTACTCAATAAACATGAATTTTAAAAACTGCCACACTCAATTCATCATCGCACCACGAATATTCTATGCTTTGACGGTACCCCAGTTCCTCCCCTCTGGAGTAGTATAACTGAGGTTTTAGATGCATTTCAAGAAGTATACTTATTCAAAGACTACAATGGAGATTTGGTGGAACTGAAATAAAACCACTGTAAGCAATGTGTCTGATCAGACAATGAAACTGAGAAGGCCATGTTTTAAGTGACATAAAAAAAACTTAAAGAGATGTTCCCCTCTATACTTACCCCCTTGCTCTTCCCACAACATCTTTTTTTTCTAGCCAATGTTGTCCTTGTTTATAGAGGCCTCGGTCATCAACTGCATTATTATCTCCTTTGGTCAAAAACTTGATATGTCCATTTTGCCTTAAAAGAGTAAGGGAAACCCAATTTATCAAATACCTTCACGCTATTTGAAAGCACAAAATTTGCTCTTGTTAACCAAAAACTCCTGTGGCACTGTAGTATTTTATCACCATCCCTAATATCGAAATAATTATTTAGCTAAAAGGATGTTCATGCTGTGTTGCTTATAGTAGAGAAAGACTGAAAACAAACTGAAAGTCCAACATTAAGGAGTTGAAATACTATGCAAGCATTAAAAATAATTTACTGCTTTTATTTTATTTTTTAAATGGAAAATTTCTAACATTCACAAAAGTAGAACAGTATAATGAGCTCCCACGTACCTATCACCCAGTCCCAACAATTATTAATCTATGGCCAGTTCTGCCCCATCCACACTCCTCTTTCCCTTCTATTTTAAATCAAATCCTAGACATCATATGTCATCTGTAAATGTTTCTATAAATACCTAAAAAATATAATCACTGTTTTGTTTTTTTTTTTAACATAACTGCAATCAGCATGGTTATACCTAAAAAGAAATGACATTGAAAGATACTCATCACACCCAAACCAAACCAAACCCGTTGCCGCCGAGTCAATTCCAACTCATGGCGACCCCATGTGTACTACAGAGTAGAACTGCTCCACAGGATTTTCTTGTCTGTAACCTTTATGGAAGCTGATCTACAAGGCCTTTCCTCTGCGGCACCACTGGGTGGGTGTGAACTGCCAGTCTTTAGGTTAGGAGTCAAGTGCAAACTATCTGCACCACCCAGGGCTGTATTCATCATATAAATTTTATTTAGTGAAGAAAAGATCATCAAATAGCACACACAATATAATCTCATTTTTTACATTAAAATACAAACTACCAATTTTCTGGAAATACAGAGAGAGCAAAGGAACATGTTACACTACCACAGGATGTAACTGGCAAAGTACAGACTGTGGGAAATTACAGAATGACTGAGTTTCTTCAAGCAGTAAATTGCACGGAAAAAAGAAAACTGAAGAAGGAACCTATAGATTAAATAAAAGAGACTTTAAAACCATATCAACCAATTGTATCAAAGGACCTTATTTGGATTTGGATTCAAACTGTTAAAGATATGACACAATTGGGAATTTGAGCCAATACTGGAAATTTAATGAAGGAATCACTGTTCATTTTTTTCAGGTGTAACCATGCTAATTGCAGTTATGTTTAAAAAAATCTGTGATTATGTTTTGTAGGCACTTATGGAAATATTTACAGATGACATACGATGTCTAGGATTTGATTCAAAACAGAGGGGAAAGAAGCAGGAGTGTGGATGGGCAGAACTGGCCATAGATTACCACAGTAAAACCTGTGAAAGCTGGAATCTGTGTAAGGCAGAAACCTGTCAGAGAAGAAAAACTCAAATATTTTCCACTAAAACAAGCAATAGAAAAGTGGTAAGACTGTATCCTGTCAAAGGTGGAAAACTTACGAGACTCAGAAAAACAAGGCAGTCCCACCGAGTTCTGGCTCTCACAGGTTTCACTGTATTTTCCACTAATAGAGAGCAATAGAAAAGTGGTAAGACTGCACCCTGTCAACGGTGGAAAACTTGCATGGCCAGGAAAAACAAGGCAGTCCTGTCAAGTGCCAGCTCTTGCAGGTTTCACTGTAATTGGTGGAACAGGGTGATAGGTACATGGGAGTTCATTATACTCTTCTGTCTACTTCTGTGAATGTAAGAAATTCTCCAAATTTAAAAAATAAAATAAAAGCCAAAAACAGATATTAAACAAGATCTAAAATAACATTAACCAAGGTATAAACAGTGGTTGTCTATGGCTTTCTTTAGCTTACCTGTATCTTCTAATTTTTTCTCCAACAAACGTGTATTGCTATTATATCAGGCAAAGAAGTTTAGTAAAAATAAAACCCTCAATTCTTCAGACATGTCAGGGTTTATAGGAACAATATCTTGCTTGACTAGAGAACTACTGGTTTAATTCTACTAAAGAACCATGAGGTTTCTAGTAATTTTAACTGAAAGCAAAGTGTATTTTACAGTTTATGAAGACTAGTTTAAACTTAATTCAAGTGAGTCTGGGTTAACCACTATGTGAGAAAGAAGACAATTAGTTTCAGATTTCTACTAATATTCACTTAGATTCCAAGTCAGAAACTGGCTTAGTAGACGTTAAATGTGCAGATGAAACTAAATTGGGAGGTGTTGCAAACACCAAAGACAGTTAAGTGAAACAGTCACATTAAAAATGAGATTCCAGTTAGAAAAATGCAAATATATACAGAGAAAAATAATCTATAGCTGACAACTCAAAGTAAGTGAAAGAATATCTGAAAAATCCTGGAGGGTAAAAGAAGGCAGATGCCAAGAGGGGCTAGCTACAAGAGTGAATTTCAGGAGCAGCAGGAAGGAAGATTCAATTTAACCATAAAAATAACATCAACCCTACAGATACAGAAAAGCAAAATCACATATGAGGAGAAAAAAACTGGGAGATGGGAAACTCCCAAGGGAAGGGAAGAGGAGCGGAGGGGAGAGGAGGGGAAGGTAGGAAAGGGGAAGGGAGGGGAGAAGGGATGCTTCCCAAAGACGTGATTTGCCAACAAACACACCCAATTTCCCCCTCTCTCAGATGTAACTAGGACAGACCACTATAGCTTTTCGAAAAAGCATAGGTCTCTTTCCTCTATCACAGTGGAACAAATACTCTCTAGTGGCAACCAGCTCTTATTAGACCTGCTATTAAGACCTACTCTAGCACTTCACACCTCATAGGTCCAAAATACTGACTGAAAACTCATTTATACAGGACTTTTCTTTTGCTAGCACAGGTGCCAAATATTTATTATTATCTACCTCCAAGAAGCTTGACGCACTTAAAATCTAATTCATCCATCATAACACTGTGACGTATAGTGTTCGGAGGGAGGAAATAACCACTTTATAGATAAGAAAAAAATAAGACTCAAAAAGCCAAATGGGCACAGAATAATGTATTTGTCTGTTATGTGTGGGAAACACAAAGCTAAGGAGGAAGGCACCCTAATGGCGAAATTTCTCCTTCCAAATACTTCATGCCAGCGTTCAGCATCATCAAACTATAACTCCTCCTGCAGGCTGAACTTACTAAACACTTATCAGACTGAGCTACAAAATAAGATAGAGTTTAAATGTAGAAAATAATGTCATTATTAAGAACAGCAGATTAACAGGCTAATAGGAGGTGCTGGAGCCCTGGTGGCACAGTGTTTAAAAGCTCGAATGCTAACCAAAAGGTCAGCAGTTTTAATCCACCAGCCAATCCTTGGAAACCTTATGGGGCAGTTCTATTCTGTCCTATAGGGTCATTATGAGTCAGAATCAACTTGATGGCAATGGGTTTGGGTTTTTTTTTTTTTTTTTTTTGGTGTGAGGTGCTATCCAAGAGAATTAAGTCAGCTGAAAACATTTAAAAGCAATCTTACCTTTTAAATTAAAAAATGAACAGCCTTCACTATCTCTTAGCTCTTTCCTAACTCACCTATTTTGGAAGAAAATGGAAAACAAGAGAATAGGTAAGGAGGAAGGAGGACTCAAAGAAGAGATTTCTTACTTTTTGCCATGGTACATATAATGTTGCGCAAATATCTCATAGCCATCATGTACAATAATTCCTTATTTTTTTCTTAATTAAAAATATAAGCCAAAAAACCAAAGCCACCACCATCGAGTCGATTCCGACTCATAGCAACCCTATCTAGGGCTTCCAAGGCCATAAATCTTTATAGAAGCAGACTACCACATCTTTCTCCCTCAGAGTGGCTGGTGGGTTCAAACTGCTGACCTTCTGGTTAGCAGCCGAGTGCTTTAACCACTGTGCAGCCAAGTAACTATAATAAATGCAGGAGGTGGTGAGTTTTTTTTTTTTATTGTCATTTACGTGAAAGTTTACAGAGCAAATTAGTTTCTCATTCAAAAATCTATACACAATTTGTTTTGTGACATTGGTTGCAATCCCCGCAAGGTATCAGCACTCTCCCCCTTTCCACCCTAGGTTCCCCGTGTCCATTTGTCCAGTTTTTCTGTCTCTTCTTGCCTTCTCGTCTTTGCTTTTGGGCAGGTGTTGCCCATTTGGTCTCATATAGTTGACTGAACTAAGAAGCACATTCCTCATTTGTGTTACTGTTTGTTTTATAGGCCCTGTCTAATCTTTGGCTGAAAGGTGGATTTTGGGAGTAGCTTCAGTTCTGAGTTAGCAGGGTGTCTGGGGGCCACAGTCTTGGGGGTTCCTCCAGTCTGTTAGGCCAGTAAATCTGGTCTTCTTTTTTGTGAATTTGAATGTTGTTCTACATTTTTCTCCCACTTTGTCTGGGACATTCTATGGTGAGTCTTTAAAAAAAAAAAAAAGCTAACCACTTTCTACCAATTTACTATACTGTCCCCAAACACTGGAAATCTCTTAATGTGTCTGACAATAGAATTTTGCCTGAGCTTAGCAGTAAAATAGAAACAAACCCTGAATTATGTGCCCTTTCTATTACCTAGTCAGATAATTTAGTACACATAACTAGGCTCATCTGAAGAATAGCTAGGAGTGGGCAAATGACTGGGCTGGGCACAAAGAAAGGACAGATTCAAATTCATAGGCTCATTACCATAACAGTAAGCAGTACTTGCCAAGCCTTTTAGTTCTGGGATTCCTCCCATATGTGGCAATACCAGATATATATTTCCATATGTTCATGAAATAATTATCTTATAAAACAGTATTGAGTAGATCCAAGTGTTGTATGGGAAAAAAATGTGTGTTTATAAAACAGAAAGAGAATGACCCAAATTTTTAACATTATCTCTTCATGGTAGGATCACATATGACTGTTTTGAGGTTGTTTTTTTTGGGGGGGGTGGGTTATTTTCCAATTCTACACAGCATCATGTGTGAGGATACACATGGAATAAAAATATCCACAAATGGCTATTCAATAAACAAAAACAAAAGCTTTATATGGTATTTACAAACTTATAAAGGCATATTATGTAAGAAGAGGATAGAGAAGGAAAGCAAGAAAGAAACAAAAGAGAAGTGTCAGTTTAACAATTCCTACCTCTGAGAGTCTTCTTAAAGCTCAGGATTTTATTTCTTAAAAATGAGGCTGAGACCAAAGAAATGAATAACAATGCAAAAATCAGCCTGAAAACATTCAGAAGTTATACATTTACTACAAAAACTTAATCTAGTTTTGTTGTCATTTGGCCCCATATTTAAGAACAATGTAATATTATTAAACCAATTGATAATTCCAACCAGGTAACTCATTCTCTCCTAAAGAGAAAGGAAATTAGAAACTTCTGAATATTAATAGGGTGTGCTATCTAAACAGGCCTGTAAGTTGGAGGCATCTCAAAAGTCTAAAATAAATTACCAAAAATCCAACATTACAGGTAACATACAATTTAAAATCTTCAGAATTCTGTTAAAAATTATTTAAAAAATTTAAGAAATCTGAAATTCATATAATATCTGTCAATGAACCTCCCTTGAAAGAAGATATGCTATTTTGAAATAAAATTCTATGAACCTCACTCAATGTCAAAGGACCACATGTGAAAATAGAGGACTTCTGCTCTAGCCAAAGCAGGGCCTGGGCTTAATTTAATTTGATTTTCTCTAATAAGTTCAGGGGAAGGTTGGTACCATTTTGCTCACAACACCACAAATCCACTTGGAGAATCTGAAGAACATTATCTCTACTGAATTAACCTCTAAATTCGAAAACAAATTCTAAAAATTTAGAAATTATCCTTCCCAGCCAATAAACCTTAGAATGCCATTTTAAAATTATAATTTTAAAACATATACTGAAGTCTGAAGAAAAAAAAAAAGCATTAGGGTATCAAAAAAGAAAGAATTCTTCTAAACTGGAATACTTACAGAGATTTTCAAAAAACAATGGTTGACAGTTTCCCTCTTCTTTAGGTGGAGAAAATAAACTACTTTAGAGGGTGTTAAGATTAAGACAATACTTATTTAGGGCTTCCTCATAGGGAAGAACCTAAGTCACTCCCCCTGTTTCACTACCCCCTCCCCTACACGTTCCCTAGGACACCTCCCTTTTCTTTCATTTTCTTCTTTCCCTCCCTCTGAAAGTCTTCCTAACTAGAAAGACTACAAAGTTGGAAGGGATGGAATGAGGAATATGTGCCTGGATAGGGGATCATAGGCTTAGAAATCAAAGAAATTTTATAGTTCATCTTGCTGACCCTCTTTATATTCCAGATAAGAAACTAAGTCCCACTAATGAGGCACAGCAGTCCAGGGACAAGGGCTAGAAGGCAGAAGGGGAGAGGAAAGCTGGTGACAGGGAACGCAAGGTTGAGTAAGGACAGTGTTGCTGTGTAGTGAGGTTGTTAACCACTGTCATAGGGCAACATGTGTACTGTTTAATGAGAAACTATTTTGTTTTGTAAACCTTCACCTAAAGTGAGAATAGCAGCACAATTGGAAGAGCATAGTTGATGTCACTGAACTGTGCATATAGAAATTTTTGAAATGGTGTATCTTTGGCTATGTATATTTTCACCATAAAAAAAAAAAGGTCAAGAAGGGAGAGGGTTGGCATGTCGTGGGGTTGTTAACCAATGTCATAAACAATATGTGTACTACTGTTTAATGAGAAACTATTTGTTCTGTAAACCTTCACCTGAAGTACAATAA